ACGGTAGAGAGAGAGAGAGAGAGAGAGAGAGAGAGAGAGAGAGAGAGAAAGAGAGAGAGAGAGAGAGAGAGAGAAAGAGAGAGATACTAAGAGAGAGAAAAGGATGGTAAAGAGTATCGAGGGGGAAACAAAATGAAACTGATCAGGTAAATGTGTAGAGAAAAGAAAAGAAGTTTATGTATAGTCTAAGAAAAGTGTTTACACAATGGCTCGCGCTACCTGGAGATTCCACGCGCCAGGTGGACTACAAGAGGTGTCCGGCTGTCTGCGGAGTTCTCGCCCCTGAGGATTAACTCTTTCTTGACCGGTTGAAGGCACACTTAAGCTTACATTAAATTACCATAATTTCCAAGTGGCGCCCCCGGGTACTGGAAGCATTTCATCTACTACTTGGCTTCTGTCTGGGTTTTGCTGGATTACGGCATAGCTGGCTTATTCGTATCAGCAGTTTAAACAAAGTATTTGATCGCCTCAATTTGCTAGTAGGCATTGATCCAAGAAATGCTGATTCGTTTATGAGAAAACAAAATAAGAATTTTTTATAATGTCCTTACTTTTCCTGACCCAATGTGTGGGAATTTGATTTTCTTTGATTTTCAAATTTTAAAAAAAATTATTCTCTATCATTCCTTTTTTTAAAGATAATTTGAAAATTTGAAGGTGCATTTACACCGTTTTACATGTCAGGGCCTAACTGGGAAGGGGAAGTTTTCAGAGCCGCGCAATTTCGAAAGAAAAAAATGTATTAAAAAACGACGCACTTTAAGAGCAGCGAACTTTTTAACTATATCGATGTAGTTTGACTGTTGATTACCAATTCCATCCAGCGATTTAATTCCCATCTGCATTTTACTGGACTTGGGACCAGCTTGTATGTAACATCAGTTGGAGATATGGCTACACTAGATTTTTTTTTATTATTATGTTACAACTCACTCACCACTTATCTGAGGAGGGGGGGTGGCGGGTGCTCTGGTGTGGTCTGCTTCTTCTTTCCTATGAAACATCTGTCGTCCTTATCTCCCCTTCTTCTTTTTTATGTGTTACTCCCTTGTAACACCTTTAATCTTCCGCATTTATAGGACCTTATTGTGTTGCAAGTGCCGTAAAACACTGACTAAAACTAAAAACTTATCTGAGTAATAGATATTGTTGGCGCATTCGCCGCACATTTATGACTCTATGAAAGGGGAAAAAATCCTTTAGTCATTTCAATGCAAGACGTAAAAATGTATTGTTTTTTTGTACATCAGTTTTCTTTTTATGTCACGAACACACCCCAATCACTTTGTCAGTAATGTCAGTTGACTCACCTGAAAAAAAGTTTTCATGACACTTAATTAATTTTATTGAAACACATGTAGTGCGGAGTCATTTTTGTCAAGGAATGTAACAGTAACAGTTGGTGGATGGTATTGGCAATCAAATTGTAATGATTTTATTATAAATGAGCTGTTTTCATACTTCGTTTTTCAAACGTGCGCGCTCTGATGCTTTCCCCCGAGCTGAGAGTGATTAAAAAAAAGACTGGGAGGCAGCGTGATGAAATCAGGCGCTCGTCAAAACCATGAAACCAAAAGAAACCTGCATTTTTCAGAACGTTGGCCAATTATTCTTTTTTTCGAGTTCTCTTTTTCTTTTTTTCCGGCTCAACACCTTTTATGTCCTTTTAAAAAGACATTTATGTGTAGTTATTTCAGAAAAACGTTGATTCCGGGCATAAAAAGTACATGTCCCGTTTCCAAGGATACTCCAGCTTTGAAAGTCACCAAACTTTGGCAGCCATTTAACTCTCTAATTTTTCCTCCTCGCACACCAGGCGACCCCCACCTCCTTCAATCGAAAACATATCGTCTTCTATTCAAGATAGATGGGTAATTTATTTTCCAAATGTAAGACAAATTACTAGGCCTAATGTCCTGTCTTGTTGTGCGTTTGCGTGAGTGCACCTTTAGGTCTAACTTTTGTAGCGTCTACTGCCATTGTTAACGACCAAAACAAATTTCTCCCTGCGAGATGAATAAAGATTGTCACTGTCAAATGAACAAGCCTTAATATGATATCAACAACTCTATATTGTGGATTATTCCCAAAAAGTGACGATCGCCTCATTCCACCGCGTCGTGATAAAAATGTAGGCCCTACACCCCAGCAGGAAGACCGAGATACTCGATAAAACAATTCTCCCCACTCGGGTCTTATTCGTACGATGGCCACAGATGCCGGTATCTATTTGTGGTGGTCGAATTTTGCTATTCAAAATGCTTTTTAATGGCTGCATCGATCGACATGCAGTTTCGCCAAAAGATTCTTTAAAATATTCTCCAGGTCATGCATGACGCCCTTCGGTTGTTGTTTTTTTTTTCCGTTTTGAGACAGTTTTGATGCGAAAAGCTAAATTTCTTTATTTCGCCGATCGCTTTTGTAGGCCGACGCTTCTGTCTCTGTAATTTTAGAAAATCCGCCTATTTTGTTTATTTCAAGTCGCACTTTGTCGCGTATTATCGCGCAGTACTGAGCACTATTTTAAGTGTGCGACCCGTATAGATCTAGCCTGTTTTCTTTTTTTACCAATGACTTTCAGTTGATGTTATTGCACCGATCATTCCTTGCATCGAAAGGGGGCCCAGCTAGTACAAAAGTAATGGCGGAGAAAGGGTTAAAGAGAGATAACAGAGTCGTGACCTTGTCTTAAGAAATTTCTCGACACGTTTTTACTTCCCTTCCTCTTTTCTCTCTCGCGTGGACAGTTCCGAGGCCCCACGTCGTCACTGCAGATGTTTCTTTCTGGGCATACTCACACGCCCAGCTCTGTTTGTTTTAGAGTAAGTCTACGTTCCCTCGCTTGCACTTTGTGTGAGTGTGTGTGTGTGTGTGTGTGTGTGTGTGTGTGTGTGTGCGCGTGTGAGTGTGTGTGTGTGTGTGTGTGCGTGTGAGTGTGTGTGTGTGTGTGTGTGTGTAAGTGTGTGTATTTGTTTAAGCGTGCGACCCGTGTGTGTGTGTGTGTGTAAGTGTGTGTATTTGTGTGTGTGTAAGGGGGAGGGGGTGGGGGGGGGAAGTGTTTTACGGCGCTAGCAAATCCATAAGGTCACATGAACATCCGGAACACATTAAACATTTTCAGTTGGTAGGAAATTTTGAATTTTGCCCGGATGGCGGCCGAAGCCTACTCTAATCGATTTTGGACCTCCAAGGGATCTTTGCCCACGTGACTTCCGAGATTGTTCACCCTTATTGGAGAAGATTCGGTGTACATCTCTCCTACCATAAGATCAGGGGTGAGGCTGAAGAAAAACAGTAGCAGTAGAAAAGCTGCAGCATGAGTCAGGAGTCCAGAGTACGCGGCAAAGGAGGAGAGGGAGTGGGGGCAGAAAGTGGAGACCAAAGCAGACACAGAATATTATTAGCGACCAGGAAAGGGTGTGAATTTTCAGAAAAGAAAATTTTCTGTCGATATCTGGATTCTAACACGAGAGGAGAACACCTTAACCTCTAGACAAGCCCCCCCCCACTTGCGCTTTACAACAGAAAGGAAGCACACACGCACTCTTTGAAAGTCTCTGTGTTGGGCGTCCAAGGTTATTACACGCAGGCTTGACTAATGTAATTACTTTCGCTAATGACCAAACATCCCATAATATATACATAGGGAAACATGTGCAGGTACTTTGCTGCGGTGGACATAACGACCTCCTCTTTCTGTAGTGATGAACACGTTTCAGAAGTGCATGATGACTAACTTTTGTCTGTTTCGTTTTCGTTTTGTTTTTTTAGGTTTCTTTCCACTCTTGTTTCTTGTTCGTTTGAGTAAAAACAAATCACATCAACACAATAATGGTCATGTAGTGCTGGAAAAAAGACAGACAGAAACAACAGAGGTAAAGTAAAGAAGTAGGATCTATCAGTGGCGCCCTCCAACCCCATCCCCCGTTCACTGGTTTCTTCAGGAACGAAATCAAGAATGGAATGTCGAGAGCCTTCTTTTTCTATAGGATGTAACGAACCATTTAGATGCAACAAATTCATGTACTCTTGAAAACAAGAGTGGTTTATATGCAGCTGGTTCAAAACTGACCTGACACTACATGATACCAACACTTTTTCTTTTTTTAGTAAGAGCTTAACGGCACTTGCAACACAATAAGGTCATGTAAGTGCCGAAGATTAGAGGTGTTACAAGAGAATAACAAACATAAAAAGAAGATGAGATCAGTATGATAGATGTTTGATAGAAAAGAAGGAGCTAACCACACCAGAGCACCCGCTAACCATCCACATACCAACACTGTCACATCTCTTTCCTAAGCCTCACTTCATAGACATTTCATGTATTTAGAAGGACTGTTTATTTGATGGCACATCGAAACAATGATGGCCATTTATTATAGTAAGGAAAAAGTAAGACAGACAGAAACAACAGAGGAAAAGTAAAGAAGTACTAGTGGTGCCCTCCAACCATCCGTAGACTGGCTTGTAGTTGTAGTTGGAATCAAATTAATCTAATTTTTCTGAAGACAGAAAAACCAATTTTTTCTGCACAAAGTGAAATTACACAACTCCTTATCCCCACAGACACAAATCTCACCAGCCAAATTTACCATCTCAAAGACGGATTCATCATTGAGGCATTGTTGTGTTCTCCTGACAGATGTCACTCTCAATGTTCTCTTCAACCGTTGTGTAGTGTGGATCAGCCTCAATAGCTGGATTTCCCCAAGAACAGATTACAAATACTTCGTTTCCAAGTTTGGTAAAAGTTTTACTACACTTGCAACACAATTAGGTCATATACGTGTCGAAGTTCAGTGGTGTTACTAGAGATTTACAAACAAAAGGAGAGATAAGAACAACAGATCTTGATGGGAAAGAAGGAGCAAACCACACCAGATGGGCACAATGTTATCTATTTTTCGGTCTCACTCCAAAATATCACGAACTACTGAGATTCTAGGAAAAACCAGGAAGACAAAATATTTTTCACAAACTGGACTCAACTGGGGTTTTTTTCAAAAAGCATCACAAGACATCATTTATTTATAATATAAACTTGTCATCTCTCATTGTGGCGGTAAACGCACAAAAATATGAACACAAAATAAAAGAAACATAATACAGGAAATCATCATACCATAAAAACAATCACTGCCAGCCACACAGACGTTCCTAACTACAACAGCCAGCAACAATCTCTCAAACAAGCTGAGCCACACACACACTCTTGTCTCTATCAAAAAGTTCATGCGTTGGAACTCAACATAAATGTTGCAAGCTTGAACAACACTGCAGCATTCACACACACACACTGACAACACACACATGCTTTCTATAAGTACAAATGAGAACAATATTAGCAAACCGAGCCTTCCAGCATTCTACAGCAGTCCAGCCATGATATGTGCAAAATGTTCTGTTTTTACATTTATCCAGCTCACCTGCAAAACACTGAAACACTGTTTCAACTTTCCAGCTTCATTTCCTAATTTGTAACAACCCTCATTATAAAAGAGCACAGAGAACACCGGCAAAGCCATAAAATGGTAGATTTACAAATACGGCCATATGTGCGACACAACGCGGTGGAACCAGGCGCTCGTCAATTTGGGGGCATTTGGAGTTATTGGTATCATCTTAAAGCTTGTCTATTTGTGTTGCTTTCGATGAAAAAAATACCCATCTATCCTGAATAGAGGTCAAGATATTTGCGATTGAAGGAGGAGGGGTCACCCAGTTTCAGTGGTAATATTAGCGAGAAAGTGGCCGCCAAAATTTGACAATTTCAATAGCTTGAGATTCCCTGAAAATGAAAACAATTACAGATTTTGTGCCTTTAATCTTCGTTTTTCTGTGAAATTCACATGTAAATGTGCTTTTTTATGGACACGAAAGGTTTTTAGCAAAAAACCAAAATTTTGATAAAAATTGCCAAATTGGCAAAAGAGTGCCTGTTTCTTGGATTTCCTTATTTTGACGAGCGCCTGATTTCCCCACCATGCCTCACATATTATTATTGAAAGATAATCTGTGATCATTCAAATCACAGTTTTGTTTCTTCAAATAGAGTGATGAGGCAACAAAAGTATAGATAGAGCCAACAGCTGATGATTCCATAGACAAGTAAGATAAAACTTTTTTTTGTGTGTTTGTTTGTTTTTTTGCTCAGTGCAATTTTCCTCGCCTTGTCCTGAGACTCAACTGACCTTCATAAACAAACTCCATACACTCCCACCTGTTTTATACAAAAGAAAATTTAACTGTTTTGAAAACCGTTGAGTAAATCTAATTTAAAAAATCTTATTCACATTGAGCTATACAGTGCACACATATACATGAGTTGGAAAAGTAAAATCTTCTATAGAAAAAGCACACAACTTTTTTTTTCTTCGATATGAGATTTACTGTGGAATAACGCAACAAAGTCTCTCTGGAAGCTGAGATGTGGACGACAAACTCTTGAATCATAAACGGCTATCTGCACACACAAGAAACTTTTCATAAAACATCTACCAAGAGCAAATATTCACAACTGAGAATAAGATTGGCTACTACATTCTGGCCATAATGAAGTTCGATGACACTGTTCAAACTACTTGAGGCATCAGTGGCCTTGTAGTTAGGCTCCCAGACTCTCCACAGTAAGGTAGAGTGTTCGAATCCCATAGGGGGGGCCCAACGTTGTGTCCTTGACAAAGCACTTTCCACAATTTTCCCCACTTCACCCAGGTGGGAATGGATACCCAGCTATAGACAGCGAAAGGTTTCGTCAGTTTGTTAGTATTTTAGCATGTGCAATCCGCAGCTTGCACTGTCTGCTTCCGGGGCAGCCGAGAATGTTTCTGAGTGTTCTAGGGTCTACTGGGACAATTGTTGTACAGCACATAGAGTATGCTGTAGAGCATGGAGAAGCGCTATAAAAATGCAATTGTTATTAGCATTATTACTATTCTACAGTAATTAAAACAGGCATTGAACATTTACATAAAGTTACCCTTACTAACCTTATTCGTGTGCCGACATATTTTCTTACCACTGAAGAGATGCTGAAGAGTACTAATATTCACTTTCCAACACCATCAGCATTCCATCAAGACCAAATTAGAAATATCTGATATTCAACTGCAGTTCAAAGCTATTTGCAGTTACTATTAGACATGCTTTTTTTCTCCATCTTTCACATCACTTTATTAGTTTTTAGATTCAAGGGCCATATTACAACTTTGGAAGAAGTTAACAAAAGTATACATTCATTACAACTTTCTGTACTTTAACAGTTCAAATAGGCTACAGTTTCAGAATAGAAAAGTCATGCTATAACTGAAACACACACAATTTCATATTGCTATTTCAGAACAGATAGCATACCCTAAATTTAGTTCAACTTCAATCCAGTACTTTCAGATTTAAAATCTGGTGCCCTTCGCACAGGCAATATCATGGGGGTTATCATTAAAAAAGACCCTAGAGGTTTACATTACTGTATTGATGTCCCTCCTCGACAACAGTTCAAAGAAGATCTCAACTAAGCTGATGCGGTGGGAGACAAAATGAGAAAATAAGCAGATTCCATTGTGGTTGTTTCATCCACAAAGCTACTCTACGAAGAAATGAAAGCTCTGAGAGAGACAAAATTAAATGCTGCCTTTAATGAATAACAAGGAAAGTGAATAACTGAGTACGCTTATTAGCACAATGCACTGACTCAAAACCCTGGTAATTCAAATCATTCAGTAAATGACTAAAAGAAAAAGAAATGGCTCCCACTTTGCATAAATGATCAAAGACTAGCAAATAAATGAATCAAAGAACAACCTGAGGATGCAGATGAGATTATGGTGCCCTCTCCAAATTACATCCATTGTTTCAGGAGATCCAAAATGCCTGGTCCCCTCACTGATTCGCCAAAGACTGTCCTGCGGTGTCAAAAAGGACAACATCAAGGGCCCAGCAGTGAGGGGATCAATGGCAACATAGTCTTAACACTTTGCAACCACACAGCCAGCAGTTTAAAATACCCCCCTGTCTGGTCACCCAGCCAGGAAAACGACCGTGACAGATTTTTCGGGCCTGTCGCAGAACTGTGTAAAGTAACCCCAACAGATCATTTTCACCTTCGCATTATTGCGGCAAATGACCACAAAGTGATAATTATAAGGACAAAATGCTTTACGCCCTAAGATAAGCTCACCGGAAATTGGACCTTTATAGAGAGGGAGCTGCACCTTGGAGGGACCACCATGAACGACAGGAGACAGAACCCACACTCATCAACCAATGATCAACTCCCGCAACCCAAGAGATCACGACAAAGAAAAAAAAATTCTTTAAGTCATAACTGACACCATATATCTATAGTTGTCTTAAAGAGAAAGCCTTTGCCTCTGAACCAGTAACCTTTGCCCACTGTAGCAAAACCATCACCTAAACCTTAGCCCTCACCTACCCTTCCAATAACCCAAGACCATCATGGATTTGAAAATAAAGTGGCTATTATGACACTGATTGGAAAAAAAAACGTAGAGAAAAACTTGCTTTTTTTTCCCAATATATATAAAAAAGAAAAAGCTGTTCTACATATGTACATCACTGTAGTCTTGTACAACAAGGTGATCTTGTGAAAAAGCTCTTTTCCTCCAAGACTTCAGCTCCTGGCATCATCACTCTAACATATCAAGATGAGAGTTATTACTGCAGCGCTTGTATTGTTCAAGTCAATCTAACTAACTAAAAAAAAAAAAAAGCTCAGACTCAGAAGAAAAGTGTATCGTCGTTTTTCCCATCAATGAACTATCAAACACGTTTTGATTTGTGCGAAGCTTGCCCTGACCCACACGGCACGCAAATCATCAGAACCACCAGCAGGAAGCCTACAACTCAAAGCAACAGCGGGCTCTCGGCCACAGATCTACTCCAAACAACACCACACTCTCGCTCGAGTAGTACACACACACACACACACAAACCTCAGCAGACATTCCAGTCGAAGTATCATATCTCATTCTCTCTCATCTCTGTGGTCAAATCATGGCTTTTAAGCAACGAATGCAACTAGAAATTCACAAATAATCAGAGCCTAAAGGAACAACCTAGCTGCTATCCATAGTTCATCATGTCAGACGACGGGCTGTTGCTGGGGGCTTTCATTGAGTCGTTGATATCTCTTCGAAACACAGACAGGTTCTGGGTGAATCTACACAGGAAAGAAATAGACGAAGGAAAAATAAACGACAACAGCCCATCAATTTTTCTAAAACAAAATGAAACAACTTTGTATTGAACCAATTAGCGAAAGCCTGAAAGGCTCAAAATAAACAGGTAAAAAGGTTATTACAAGAATATTCTTTTACACTTCTGGAAACATCATTATATGCACTGCTTGCCTTATTTACTATAACCCTGATTCTTGGAAATGTATTGCTATTGATCTCACAACATTACATAACATTTTACTCAAGACCTCCACATCTTTTATCACATTTCCTTTTCTCTTTTGAAGAGATATTTTTTTAACATAGTAACTTCAAGGAAAGAGGAAAAAAAAAAACATTGGTAAACATGAAATATATTTATCACCACAAATAACTTTGTCATCGTGAAAAAAAAATTCTCCAATCTTTCAACGCGCACACAAATCAATGCCAACATTATGCACTTTTTAAACTTGACTCTTGGCATGACAATAGGTTAACTAACTAGCAAGACATTGAACATATTTACATCTGTACTTGGTGAGTTTTCAAAGACTTTAACCTCCCCACCCCCCATCTTTTTTTTAAAGTCACAGATAAATATGAACTCCGTCTCAAATACATAAGTCTACTATTCATCGTGCTAACAAAAAGGACGTAAAACATACCTGTCTCTGTTCTTGGCCAGCAGAGATCTCTCTACCCCATCCATCAGATTCTGAAAGCAGTTGGCCATAGCCTCTTGTTTCTCCACGGGCTGGCTGGAAATGATGTTGCTCCTGAGTTTGTTAAAGTACTGCAACAACAGAGACAGGTTTGGTCGAGTTTAGTTTTAGTTTTTGTATGGGTTTTGCAGCACTAGCAACACTAATAGGTCAAATCAGTGCCGAAAATTGAAACAGGTATTTCTTGAAAGTAACATACAAAGAAAAGCAGGAGGAGAGATTAGGATGATAGATGTCTGATAAGAAAGAGGGCACAAAACCACATCAGAGCAAGGTTTCTTCTGAGAAGTGAGCCAGACTCTATTGTGAAGACTGCCCTCCACTGGACACCCGAAGGACGTCGCAAAAGGGGCAGACCCAAAGTGACCTGGAGACACACAGTAGAGTCTCTGAAAAGAGGTCCTGAAATCATTCGTGGGGAACGCTGACCAAGATGGCCCGAAACAGACAGAGCTGGAGATCCTTTGTTGGTACAAAGGCATAATAATAGCCACAGCAGGGAAAAGGCAAAGTAGACAGAAATTACATAGTGAAAGAAAAAAAAAGATCCACAAACCAGTGGCGCCCTTCAACCCTTAACAACAGGAAATCGTGTCCCAAGGTTCACAGACAAAAATTTGACTGCATTTTCAAAAGGAAGACTGAAACATCTTCCACAGCAACAACAACATTGCACAGAGCAATCCTTGGCACTCCGAAATACAAATATATATGTGGACTTTGAAATATTAAGTTCATTTGAGACTGTTTCTTTACGTGCCCACAATGTCCTCCCTGCACTCAAGAACAAGGACTACACAGCCTGTCTTCTATTCCTTGTAGCTATGGTCCAGAACAGGGGATCAACTTCTAAATGCAATTCAAAAGAATAAGGCATACTACTCACTATTAAACATTTGTTAACTTAGAAGACAGCACATCCCCTGACCAGCTTTTGCACAATTTTTTGTTTCCCCTTCCCCACCCCCCCCTAAATTTTCCTTATTTATCTGTAATATCTGCTTGTTTGTATCCTCACATTGAATCAAATCTTCAGTCATTTCTTAAAATTTTGGTGGGTTGTTATCATTTTTTAGTTGAAATTGCTAACATATGCACATTTGAAACTGAACTTGCTGCAACAATGGTAAAGCAACTGTTGGAGGGGTAACAAAATAAAATGGCCATATTGCAATAAAGAATTCCAGTAGTTCAATATTGTCAAAGATTTTATGTTCAGTCAGCACAAAAGTGACCTGATTTCATTTTCGTAAGCGTTTTACTGCACTTGCAACACAATTTGGTCCAACATACAAAGATTACAGATACTGCAAGAGAATGACAAACACAAAAAGAGAAAGAGAGATAAGGATGATAGATGTTTGAGAGGAAAGAAGTAGCAAACCACACAAGAGCACTCGCCAACCACCCACAACCTCATTTCAAAAGGGCTACATGAGAGCAATGGTAACATTAGAGTAGAAACATACAACACAACAGAGCTGCCACCAACCAGACCATTCACTGCAAAAGGCCAAGAGCCGACAAATCCAACACAGGACAGAATGATCATGATTAAAGAATTGACACAACAAAAAATTTGCTCCAGAAGGATAACATAAGCACTTTTTTTTGTTCTCAAACAGCCCTGTGCTGAGAAAAGCTTTTAGACACTCCTCAAAACACACAAAACTTTACAGAAGTCTTTAAAATCCAAAGACACTATACTTTTTTTCTCATTAAGAGCAGGTTCAACTGCATAATTTAAAACATGAAGCTTATTGACCTACCTCTTCGTTGAGCAAAATAAGGCCTAACAAAGGTCTGGACATGGACCACTGGTTCCGGCAGTCCTCAAACATAATGATGTTCAACACTGTGGACAGCATCTGAAAGGACAAACCCAAACAAAATTAATTCCCAACCAAAGCCCATTAGAATTGTAATTTTCGCTTCAGAAAGCATAAAGTTTACGTCTCAGATATTGAACAATTCCACAAGCTTCTATTCAGTAAGTAAAGCAGTGTATACACAAGCTGGAGATGCACACTGTCAGCATCACTCCCCAACCACGGCTATCAATTTCTAGAAATCTATGAAGCAAATAATCTAATATAGATATACCAAGGGGCATCTTACAATATCATTTCATTCCGAGTCATTATTGCCTCAAAAGTTATAAATTGAAAAACAAACGCCATAGTCATAGTTCTGATTTAGTGGCCGTCTTTTTCTTTAATTTTGCTTTAAACTTCAAATAATGACTTAGGTGCTAAAGAAATTATGCTGACCACAGGTGTAAATACGCACAAAATAGAACTTTGTGGTACCTTTTCCACCTCTAGAGTAACAGGACGACAGAGATGTTCTGCTCTTGGTTATTTGGTAAAACTTGGTAATCTGCCTCAACAAAAACAGGTTAACTCATTGAGATAGAGTTCCAATTATCAATTTGATAAGTGTCAACACATAGAAAAGATTGAAAAAAATATGTTTTTTGGGATTTTTTTAATAGTAGAGGGTTTAACAGCACTCGCAACTGCAAAAGGTCATATGAACGCCAGGGGGTGGGTGTCAACAGAGAAGTCTTTACAGGGAATCAGACTTAGACTGCTCACCTCTCTAGCTTCAACAGCACAAGGTCTGCTTCGACTATCAAGGCACCCCAAAATAGCAGGTCACAAGAGAGTGACAAACATACAAAAGAAGTAGAGGAAAATGACAATAGTAAGGATCAGGAAAGAAAAAGCAGCAGTTCCCTGTTGTAGATCAGGTACAGTTATGAGCGTGACATGAATCAGCCCATTTACAATTCTACTATGCTTGAACGAGAAATGTCCCCCCTTTGGGAATGGCCTACAGACACTTCAGTCAGCGGCACTGTCCCGGGGGGAGGGTAAAAATCTGGTTTACTTCAATTTTTGTGCAGTCATTAAATAAATTGTGAACACTGTTCACATACAGAGGAACCATTCTCTGCCTGGCACCTTATTAGGATTTTCCTTTTTGTTCACAAGCCTCGGGAACAGGTAGATCATGAGGTCTACAAAATGCACAGTCGAACAAGCTGCCAGCCACATGAAGCTAGCATGGTCGAAACAAGTTAAAATTATACACACATTACATAAAACATTTAAGGCAAATAGAAGAAAACCGTTGTTTAAGTTACCATAAACACCAAACATTCAGCATACCTGTTGTAAAATTTCAGGATGTAGTTCCAGAATGCAGAGGAACGCTTCACTGTCTGGTACCTGATTAGGATTTTTCTTCTTTTTGTTCACAAGCCTCCGGAACAGGTAGGTGATGATGTTGTCTAGCGTGGCACAGCAGCCAGTACACACCATCGTGTCTGAAACAAAAAGGGCACGACCTAAAAAAAGGTTTTTGCTCTTCTTCAACTTCCCAAAATTTACATGGTTCGCATGGTCATTTGTCAAGCAAGAGCACATTCGCATCTATTGCCTTCCAATCAACCTTATGCTGGTTTCAAATAGAAAATACACAAGATAATAACAAAGCATAAGAGCAGACCAAAAAAAGTACTTCATTTCACCTATAGTTCAAAAAGGAGGTATGTGAACTCAGTACCAGGAACAAGTAACTAGAAAAAAAAGCTGTACAGCTAAGACTAAATCACTGGTCTATTCTAGAGGAACCTATATTGGTGACAAGTAACTAAATATTGGTCCTAAGGCAACTTTAACTTTCAGGGTATGTCTGTTCAGCACAGGCATCCAGGCTTCCACCATTTCCATTTGTGTTATTCAACCTGGCTTCCTTGCGCTCCCTAACATTTGGTGCTAATAGTAAATCCCTTTCCATTTCAAAGTATCCAAACCTATAAACTTTGATGATCCTCATCAATTGAAAATACCTTGAAACCAAGTCTGAGCTCATAAAAGCTGCATCAATAAGTCAATGACGGCAATGCCAGTCAAACATGATAAACCATTTACTTGTGAGAAATATATAAGAGCCATACCAATTAAATTTTAAAAACCCATGACCCTGAACTCACCTAATGCTGTGAGCCCTTCGCTGATGGAGGAGAGCAGATAAAGGAAGACCTGAGGCTCCAGATTGCTAATGAAAGTCATGTGATCCTGGGCCAGACACTCCAGCAGGCCGTAGTAGTTCTGGCTCAGCTTCGGGTAGTCCTGTACACGTAGTGAACAAACACAGAGGAAAGTTCAGTTTTAGTCAGAAATTTACAGTGTTTGCAACACAATTAGGTCATATGAGTGCTGAAGATTAGAGATGTTACTATGAAGTAAAATACAAAGAAAAGAAAAAGAAAGGAAGAAGAGATAGGGACAATTGATGTTTGATAGGAAAGCAGGTGCAAACCACATCAGAGCATCCACCAACCAGCAACACAAAGGAAAAACTTTTCGAAATAAGGAAATTAATAAAAAATTGAATTCATCTCATAGCCAGAAATGCATCTTTGTCATATATAAATTAACATTTCTACGGCCAAGACTATCTATCTCTTACTCTAAATTTTTGTTCATTTTCATCTTTCTTTCTCCAAGCTCGCTCACTCCCTCGTTTATTCTGTTAACGGCATCCATCACTTCATTGCAAAGAGCAAACAGTTATACTCAAGTACATCTTTGGATCTCTTCAATTAAGCAAATGTTCACTTTTTTAAAACAATAAAAATAAAGACATTACACCATAAAGCACAGGACAGGTAGACAATATATTCTGGTGAAAAAAAAAATCATCAGTTCATTTTCCTGCACTATTGTAACACATCTCTCTATGTGTCTAGCCAACACTACAACAAAGGAAAAAAAGAAGTCGCCTACCAATAAGTCGCTCTGTGGCACGGAGAGAAGCAGCTTGACAAACATGGCCAGCACATCGTCCAGCGCACTGTCCCCGTACAGCCGGAACACGCCAAAGTTCACGTAGTTCCCACACAACGCAGCCTTCAGCATGGAGAAACACACTGAGATGCCCTTCAACTTAAGCAACGTTAAGGAATACATGTGGGAATTCTGAATGTCAGTTCATATTATACCCATCTACAGTATGTAATCTAATTTAGAGCAAAAATAAATACTCCTTGAAAAGCCCAAGTTGAGTAAAGAAGAAGGAAGACAGAAGGTCACAAACATGTTCAGAAAGGTAGAATCACAGTAAAAACATTGATAGATGATATGTGTTCCCTTTCTAGAGCTAAATGCAGAAGAATAAGAGAGGGTAAGAAAAAAAATCTGTTTATAAAAAAGCTTAGTACATTTTTCAAATACTACAGGCACCGGGACAAAAACAAAGTTGCTATGATAAGAAAAATGAAAAAAAAAAAAAAATGTTTCACCATGTAAAGCAGGGTTAAAGGGAGATGAGTATTTTTCTTTCTACGGAGACAATAAGGAATTTTAAAGTGCCATAAACTCTACATAGAAAAAGACAAATAACAACAACAAAGTATACAAAGCCCTTTCCCATGATCTTGAACAACAGGTAAATCCAGCTCAGACTTAAACAAAGGATATTTCATTGGGTAGATTCTGTCTTTTGGAATGTCACCAATGGTTAAAATTCTTGATCCTGAAAAACATCAAAGAAACAATGGATAAAAAAATACATTTCTTAGACTCTCTCACTGAAATTTGAGAGCATGAAATAGATTTATTTTCTGGCAGAATAACTTCAGAGACAACCAGCAAAGGAACTGTAGTGAAAACTTGTATGAGTCTGCATTTAAATAACACAACCATGGCTATTAAGCAGAATAATAATTCAAGCGCAAAACTGTACTTGGACAGCCATGCCATCACTTCACACTTTATTTCAGAAATCATAACCAGAAAGCTCTTCCTTGATTCAGAAAAAAAATACACAAGACTGCAATGACAAGAACAGACGGTAGAGTAAAGTAGGGGCAAAATTTCCAACGCACCGTAGCACACAATCATTTTGCTAATCTCCCTGAAGAGAAGTATTCCATTGGGTGAGGACACATCAAACTGTAGACGTTGAGATCTGAGGAATAAATTTTAGTCAATGTAATCCATTATCTTCTTAAACGTACATAAAGTAAACTGGACTTGCTCTTGAAATAACACTTTTTTTTCAGATTGTATTTAGCTACCACTTAACCTCATCCGCCTTAACCAGTGAAAAAAAGTTCAGTTAAACATTGTATTACCCAACCACTACAACCTTGTACCTGTTGGAAGTGGTCGGAAAAGCAAAGAAATATAGAAAGTCTCTGAAATTCAATAACACAACAACACACAGTTCGATAGAGCTGGTAGCAAGAAAACTAATACTCTTTGAAAACCCTGATATCTAAATAATAAAGATACATAAACCAAGCATAGAATTAAAGTAAAAAACAAAATCATTGTCTCCAAAGTCCTATTCAAAACATGTATAGTTTTCAAAGATCAGACCATAAACCCTTGAAGACACTAAACAAACTTAAGAACTGGTAAATTAATCAAAACTACCCGCTACAACAACTACCTGAATTCACCGACAACTCAGGTTTTAGTAAAAGTTTTGCAGCAAAACAAATTGGTCTTAATACAAGAGCAGAAGATTGGAAGTGTTATAGAAACATTCAAAGAAAAGAGGGAGGGGAGATAACAATGATAGACGTTTGAGAAGAAAGAACTATACAAAATCTAAACCTAAAATTTTGAGCTTAATGCCAGTCCAACCATGAAGATAATATACCCAAACTTGAAGAGCCGCAGAAAACCACACAAGAACACCCACCAACATCCACTCCAACATCTTTGCCACACAAAATCTAAATCTAAAATTTTGAACTTAATGCCAGTCCAACTCTGAAGTTAACTCTTTGAACCCCATCGGACACTGGGAGCGTCTCCGGCAGTAATAACCCTGTTCGATACCAGAGACAAAGTCTGTTTTGTTTCATTTAGTGGTAGTTTTTGCTTGTTTTTCCTAACTATTCCCGAACCAAGTTTATTAGTACTGACTAAGCCTTTGTTTCTGCCATTTAGAAGTTAAGGGCAAGTCTTTGGGGGTTATAATGAGACATGGTGCGCCAGGTTTAGGTGACTGCAGAAAAAGACTCTGGGAAACGGTGGAAATAACTCAGGGTCTAAAGAGTAAAAGAAAGACCCGATCTGGAGCAGCCTCAAGGGCACAGCAACACTCACCTGTTTTGTGCAAGTTCTGTGAACAGTTTGAGGACTGGTGTGGTGACACAGGGGTCGTGATACCATAACTCCACAGCCCTTTGTAACACTGGGGTGTAAGACGGGTAGCTGATGCTTCAGTTAAGGAATTCAGATTACCTGACATTTTTTAAAATGATTTACACTTAGATAAGTGGGGAGTTCTGATATAATAAAATGCCTTGATATTTCAATAAAACAAATGAACTAAAGCATGCGTGTGTGTTCGTGAGTGCATGTGTACCGTGATCCACAACTGAAAGTGCATGATGTGCTGATGACTGCGTATGCTTTCATAAACTTATCATTAGTCTGAAAGAGGCGGTATTCTTTTTACCAAATTTGACAGTGTAGTTTGAGGAAAAGAGTTTTACAAAGACCTACCATTCTAGGAAATCTATGAATCAGGATCTCTGGTGGAAAAAATAGGGATTTGGCGAAAAAAATTGGGATCTAACGGCAAATCACCAGTGTGACGGCCAACCTGACTAAAAATGTTCCTGGGTGTCCATAAAAATATATCCATATACACCCTGTGTGTGTGTGTGTGTGTGTGTGTGTGTGTGTGTGTGTGTGTGTGTGTGTGTGTGTGAGTGTGAGTGAGTGTGTGTGTGTGTGTGTGTGTTTCATCATTTTTTTAAAATATCCAGAACAAGCCAAGCACTTCTAGTCCAAGTGTCTTAAGAAACCCCCCCCCCCTACCCCCCCCATAAGTCCCGAAAGACGCTTCCACCAGTGTACAAGAACTTATGTCACGTGATGCGAATGCGCAATTGAAACTCTTTTACTGGTGGGTTTTGATAACAGGCCCGACTAACCAGAGCTCAGACGAAGCTTGTTTTGAAAGTAACAGAACAACGAATAATCATTTGTATGTCACAAGTGAAAGAGTTATCGGGTCATCATCGGAGAATTTAACAAACAAATCATCTCATGTTATTCTTACTCAAAAAGCGGTTGACTTTTACAGAGCTTGTAGATCCCTATATCTCCTTTATTGTAAATCTGCTCCCTATATCTCCTTTAATGTAAATCTGATCTCTAGATCTCCTTTCATGTAACAAAAACAAAACAACAACCCAGACACAAATCCACTCACAATAAACATGCTCAACAGAATCAATCACAAAAGTAAAACACATTTTGTTTCACAAGGATACATCCATTCAAACAGCATCATATAGCTAGTCTTATTGCTGAAGGCAAAAGTGATGCCTCTGAGGTCACGAGCCAGGCCAATCAACGACCTCTGAGGAAAAGAAAGAGAAAAATTTCATTAAATAAAAAGCAAAATAAAGCCCATCAGAATTAATAGTTACATACAACTCAAATACATGTATGTGGCAAGCTGCAGCAACTTTTTCACTGCTTTATTTCATGTGTTCTCAAGGACTATAGTACCTTGTCATAATATTTCATATGGGGCATGACAACAAAATTGAGGGTTTCACACGATGATAAGTATATTTATCAAAACTTGGTATTGAATCTGTGTATCTTTGGAGTGTTGTTACCAAACCAAAAGACCCAAAATTATAAAAAAATCAAATTTTGTGTATGTCAACCCAAAAAATTAAACTAAAACATCTAAACTATTATTCTAAGGTATTAAACTGATTTTAAAACGGTTTTAACTGCAACTAATATCACTACTTGATAGGGTCAATTCATTAGTCTAGCAAAACAGGTGTCCATGAAGCTTTGCAGGAAACTGCAATTATTTTTCTGTGCTATGCTACACGATAACATATGAAACACACTTAATTAGACAAAATACCACTAGCCAATCCCAAAATGTCATACAAAAGCCGGTAAAGCCAGTAAATATAAAATTCCACAATCCAAATCTCTCACATTTGGATGCAGACTATACTGTATCAAAGGGAATTTACGCCACCATTTACAGCTGCAGACTTAGTTCGATGTTTTGTCAATCGGATGTATCCTTCATACTACTAAAAGAACCCACATTTTGTAATCAACAGAAGTCGGGGGTTGTGACCAAAATATATTACAATTACAGACAACATACCTTAGCTTCCTCCATGTTTATGGATACATTCGCATTCGCCAACAAGCCTCCAACGCTCTCGAAGTGTGCTGAAACAAACATACAATCAATGTACACAATTTCCAAGTCACCATCAATCTGAGTGAAAATGATCATGTTGGAGTAAAGGGAACCGAGTAGGTAAACGGTAACACGAATCACAGGTAGAAGAAGAAGCATACACAACTGTGTCCACCAACCACTCGTTAGCTGATCAACATACAGGGCATACTTTCTGCAGGAACAAAACAGAAGAAAAAAAAATTTTTCTCACCAGACTATACAAGAGGCCTGACCAGCTATCCGAAGTTAGTAAAAACAAAACTATAAACTCCGTGTTACCAAAAATCAAACGCATTTCGTATTTCCACTGTAACAGAGAAAGAAATGAACAGGAAAGTAACACACCTCACATCCACTCCATAACCACTATCATGACATGATTGACAACAAACGTTTTAGTTTTAGTTAAAGTTTTACAGCACTTACAACAATAAAACGTCACATAACTGCCGTTGATTAGAGATGTTACTGACAAGTAACGTACAGACAAATGAAGGACGAAAGATAAGGACAACAGTATTTGATAGAAAAGAAGGAGCACATCACACCAGAGCGCCCACCAACCACCCAAGCGTCCCCACCTGTGAGAGGCATCATGAAGCGGTAGAACCTCTCCTCGTCCTCCCCGAGGTCCACCAGCAGCAGACGGCCCAGGGCGGTGTAGAACGTGGTCCGGCACCTCATGTCACTCGGGGCGCCGTTGCCAGAGTTGATTCCCAGGAAAGGGAAATGTTCACTCTGGAAAAGGAAAACAACAGTCTTAGGAGATTGACTTTTAAAAAAAATTCAATTCACGCCTCCTTAAAGTTCTGTAACAAAAAGTCGGTTATTTTAAATGTAGTTGAACCTGCTCTAATGGCCACCTGTCCAAGACAATCACCCGTACAAATGACCACTTCCTATTTGCTCCCTTCAATATTTTTTTTACATTGTAATGACATTGTCTAAGATGTCCACCTCTCTAAGACAATGGGTGGCCGTCTTGGACAATTGCAAATGTAAAACAAAATTTCAATAGACATAACTACTCTGTAAATCAAATTCTTCTATGAGTACACCTTCAAGCTAAGATATTAATTAATATATCACCTCCTAAAAAAAAAAACTCCTTGCAAAGGGGAGAGATAAAGAATAAGCCTAAAATCCTGACTACTACTTTAGCTGAAATAAGACCTGTAGGCTGTATTAGCATCTCTTTGAGAACAGTCACATTTTTTTTTCTTTCTGTGGAGGGGTGAGGTAAGGGACTATACATCCTTCAGAACACATGAAAGAAAAAACAAACAAACCTAGAATCTAATGGAAACAAGGGACTAAAAATGTATGGATCATATTGTCAAATACATCTAATATCAAGACTAATATAAAAAGTAATACAACATGCATGAGTCGGACAAAATCCTGACAATTTCAACTAGAAAATCAGCACAGCTGTGAAGTGCACTCTATAGACGAGGCTGTCCATCTGCCCATCATCATCCCCCTCATCATTTCCTTCTCCGCTTTCAAAAACCACAAGCAGTAACAACTCGCACCAAACGTTTAAAAATCCGCACTGATTGACTGACTAACCGTGTGGTTGTTGAGCAGGAACTGCACAGCTTCCAGTTTGACCAGCTTGCGGACGCTGCTGTAGCCCACGGACAGGTCGCTCAGCAGCTGAAGCGTCTTCGAGATGATCGATTCACTGCGACCCCAGTACTTGAGATTTGTGATGCTGCACAGAGGATAGATGAGGATATCAGGATAAATCTCAGGGATTTTCATCCCTGAAGCACAAACACTGACAGTTTTTGTCACTTTAACAGGTCTTCAAATATATACAAACCATGATTAAAAAATACCCCTTGAAAGTGTGTTGTGTACAGCAGGTCTCGAAGACAAATGCCACATTTCCCACGAAACAGATTACAACAACAACAACAACAAAAAAAACACCACAGAAAAGAAAGAAAAAATCTCCGACCAAAAACCCCCCAACCACCAAAATAAATACACAGGTTGACACTAAAGAAAAGTAAATGTTCTTTAAAGTTACAAATCAGTCAGGACCAAAAAGAAAAACAAATCTATTTCATATAACAAACCTAACAACTGACAATTAGAAAGTACTGGGTACAATTCACAGTAATATACTCACATTTTTCCTATGAAGACACTAAGCACCATAGACTCATCACTAAGGCCCAGCACTTCGGAAAGACGTCTGTACACCTGGCAGAAGAACCGAGATAATGTTACATAAAAGAAAGCCTGCTGTTACATTAATGAACAACACCGATACAAAAAAAATAACTTAAGAACATCCAGCAACGGTCTTAAGTCATTTATCATTTTATACAAGCTGTATGCTGCAAGATGGTGTGGGCTTGACAGAAAGCAACAAAATGCATCAAGTATTGTGCTATGACACCCTGGCGGTCATTTAAATCCACTACGCGATAATGAACTCACGGCACAAAAGTAAACAGCTGTCAGTAAGGAATAAAAAGTAATCAATCACCAACAACAAAATTTTTCTTTTTAAACTTCAAAAATCAAAACATATTTCTGTCTGTCAAAATGAGTATGATAACTAACATAGAAATTACAAGTTGCCTTTTAAATTCAGTCCCCTCACTCTTACCCCACCTCCCCATTCACTGATCTGAAAACGTTCTGTCAGGCACTATTCCCACACAAAAACACAAAAGGATAACTTTTCAAGGCGATTTCACGAGGGTGTTTTTTTCCTCCCACTTCAGTCTAACTCCACACACTGTACAATTCAGTCCTATGAGCTGTCCAACAAAGTGTTGTCTTTTTCACTTTCATCCAAGGAAATCAGTCTTGAACACAAAGCCAAACAATGAAAAGAAAACTAAAAAGAACGAAACCCCATAAAATGTTTAAACAGCTGAATTGCTCTAAGGGCCACCTGTCCAAGGCAATTAACAGTACAATGACCCACTCCCCAAGTTGCTTTTTAGTTTTAGTAAGAGTTTTAAGGCACTTGCAACACAATAAGGTCGTATAGGTGCCGAAGATTAGAGGTGTTACAAGGGAGTAACAAACATAAAAAAGAAGGAGAGATAAAGACGATAGTTGTTTAATAGGAAAGAAGGAGCAAACCACACCAGAGCACCCGCCAACCACCCACCTCCCCAAGTTGCATTTCCCCTGTATTATAAGGAAACTGTTCAAGAGGACCACCTGTCTAACACAGGTTCAATCTTATTTTGTCATCGTGAAATCAAATGGCTCTGGTCTTTCATAGCGTTTGATTCCCATTTGAAACATCCTAAGACAGAGCTTTATTGAATCCTTCAACTCTATGAGGCTGCAAACTGCACACCACATTCTTTTATTACCAAGTAGAAAGAGTCACATAAAGGGCGGTTTTTTCCTTCACATTCGGGTTCAACACTGGGTAAAACAACGGAAAGGCCGGGAACAATTTCTGCATACTGTGAGGGAGCCAAGTCAGGGTCGTGATGGTGAGGGAATAATCACTTCAGGGTCAAGACACACAAAAAATAACAATGTTGGGTAGCTACATACAAGACAAATTTTTCAAACCACAAAATAAAAGTAGCTATGCAATGTCATGTAGTCCCGACATAAAGCTCTTTCTAATTTCCAACCAGCTCTAAACTGCTGTTACTATCATCATTCTCTTTAAAAGTCTAATCCATCTCGTGGTAGTGTTAGAATTCTTTTTTCGTTCTACCATGCAGCTTTTTAAAGATTTGCTTCCAATTTGGTATTTCTACATTGTAAAATGAGTTAATTTTTTTGAACACCCCTAAGAAAAAAAAAAAAGCATATGCATTTAAGAGGACAGGAAAAAAGGAAGGATCACATCACAACACAAAAGAAATTAAATGTATGTGTATCACGAAAAAGAACTACCGCATTTATACCAAAAAAAAACTTCTACACATTTTAAAGCTTAGTACAGTAAAAAAAATTTAACTCGCCCAAATATGTACAACAACAACATGCCTAAATCTCGACCTGTGAAGAACAGATACTTTATAAATAAATGGAATAAAAATTAAATGTAATACAAAACATTAAATTTTGTGTTAAAAATCAACAATTCACAAATTGAAATCAACACAAATTTTTAGACGATAATTTCTGTACGAGGAAACAAAAGTTCTTAATTAAGAAGGCAAGCTGCCCTGGCACTTCTTTCACACTACAAACAGCACAACCTTGCTACAAGGCAACCAGATCTCCAAAGACTATTTTAAAGGAAACAGTCTTTATTGTGCTTAAGATTAAAAAACCAACATTATTTCAAAATCCAAAGGGAAGTTTATTTTTGCAAACAAAGGAACACATACTCACAAGGTCAGTAAAGAATTTTTTCATTGTCTGAAAGACAAATTACATCCACTTTCATCTCAAGCTCAATTCACCTAATAACAAATGAGGCAAATAAATGTGTAAAGGGTATGTCTTCATGGACTGGATAAAGCCTGGATTTTGTACAAAAAAGCTGCCACACCCCATACAACTTTTCCAGCAACAGAACTACACAGAATCAATTGTTCTAAGGAATAACTTCTCTTAAGCAATGGATCTAGAACCTTCACAACAGAAAAAGTGACACCACCAAAAAAAACCCAAACAAATCCTACAAAAATCCCTAAAAAATAATTCAAAAATATTTTATCAGATCGAATATCACTAGGGACAGCACACTCTATGAATAAGACACCAACAAAAGAACAACAAACAGTAAGACTCACTTTCGATGTTTTCTGGACTTGATCTCCCACATAGATTTTCCGGAACTGCTCAAAGAAACTGAGTATAGCTAAGTCAAGCTTCTCACAGCCCCCTTGAGCTAGCCGCGAGTCTGTCAGGTTCATTAGCTGTAGCACTCTAAGAAACATCACAAAAAAGAGCAAATATTGAATGTTTAAAAGAAAACTTGAAAAAGAAAAAAGAAAAGAAATACAGCAATAAAAACTTCAAACTGCCTATATAAAGCTATTTCTTTGTGAAGAGTCTTTGAGGTTATACATAAAAAAACAAAAAGTGAACTCAACAGGGTCTAAGCACTTAAAATCTCACCAAATTATTGACACAAAGCAAAGCTTGTTCCTTCAATAATTCTTTTTCAAAGACATAGAATATGAGTAGATGTTTAAACACCCTTAATCCCATAATCTTGACAGAATGGCATCAAAGAGGTCCAACAGAACAACGCAAGCATCAGCAACCACATATCCTAGCCCTTAACCAAATACTGCATTTCCCCACATCTTATGATACAAGAGGAAAGAAGAGGTAAGTAAAGTGATCCCATAATTCTAGTCAAAAATTAATTAAAAAGGTACCCAAGCTGCTTTCCTTAAATGGAACACAAAGATGGCTGGGTTTTTTTCAAAATCTCCAGTACCAAAAATGGAACACAAAGATTTTTTTCTTTTTTCAAAATCTCCAGTACCAACCTGCAGACAAGCTCTCCATCCATGGCGTCGTGCTCGTCTGTGCTGGCAAAGGAGACGCGGCCACCTATCACAGACCCGATGATGTAAACAAGCCACGTTAGCCGACCTGGAAAAGTGACAGTAATAAGAATGAAGAACCCTGAGAATTTGTTCTAACGAACAAAAACTGCTCCGTGGCAAATATCGAGGGTAGAGCACAGAGCATATGAACTTAAAATAATCCTCCCCCCTAAAAAAAATTCCAACAAATACTACAAAATTCTAGAAGTCTTCTGACTTTCTGAATTTAAGGTAAAATCTGAGAAGGTCCATCACTGAACACTTAGAGACCAACATAAACATTTAACATAAGGATCATGAAACAATTAACACATTCTATTTGTTTGTTTTTGTTTTAGTATAGGGTTTTACGGCGCTCGCAACTGCATAAGGTCATATGAGCGCGCGGGACACACCTAATACTTTTTCGTTGGTAGGAAATTTTGAATTTTGCCCGGGTGGCGGCCGAAGCCTACTCTTATCGATTTTAGACCACCAAGGGATCTTTAACGTGCGCAACTTGCACACGGGCCCTCCGAGATTTTTCGCCCTTGTCCGAGAAGGCTAGGTGTAGATCTTTCCTACCAGAAGATCAGGGGTGTGGCAGGAAGACAGCAGTTAGGAGGAGCCAAGGAGTAGCAGTAGAACGGCTGCAGAAAGAGTCTGGAGCCCAGAGGAGGGGGCAAAGGAGATGAGGGGGTGGAGACTACTGACAGCTTTACGTACATGTATCATGTTTTCATCATGACAAAGGGTAAAAAAAACTTTCCCACAGAAAATTAACAATTCAGAAGGAACGCCAATAAATTAGGAAAGATGAAACTATGTATCAGAGTAACATTTTTTTTTCTTTTTAAACATTAAGTCTATGAAAGTGTCACTTTAAGTTGGTTCTTTAAAAATAAAAAAAAATTAAATTCCATGAATCAAAGTATAGAAGTCCAAAAGTTCACCTTCTTCAACGGCTAATTCCACAGCAGGTCCGGATGAGATCATTTCTTGATATCTTTGGGCGGATTCATCAAAGAGTTGGACAAGGAGGGAGCAAGTCTTCTCATATTCACAACGACCAATAGTAGACAACTGGTGAAAACAATAAGCACATATAGAACTTTCCAAAACCCTTGTATACATTATCAGCTGAGGTTTTGTTGACATAATATTGGGGAATCTCGTTTTAGTGAGCACTTGCAACATATACAGGTCATGAAAGTGCGGAAAATTAGAGGTGGCACTAGATAATAACATACAAAGAAAAAAAGGAGAGATGAAGCCAATAGATGTACGACAGGAAAGGAGAAAAGAACACCGAACACTTGCTAACCATGCACTCAGGAATCTCCATGAACAAGAAAAAAATTAGAGCGTAGACAAAGTGCTCTGATAAAACTCAACTACCGAGAAAGATGAAGCAAAGAATGTTGCTTTGAAATAAAAAGAAATGATGTTTCTGTAGTACTGAGAAAAGACAAACAGGCAGCAACAATTAGAGGATAAATAATGATACACTGACAACAGACTGCTTTTATATACATACCTGTTCAAAATAAGACTCTATGTGCATATAAATCCATATTACCTGATAGATCGTATTCGTTAACGTAAAACACACCCAATTTTGAAAAAAGAAATAAGGTTCTATGTGCATTGCATTATACTATTATCCTGATAGACCCTACTATATTCCTCAACCTTCTCAGCTTCCTAGGATGCGTACAAAGCAAACTGCCATTTTAAATCAATTGAAACACTTACATAGTGACAACCATTCTCAACAAAAAAAGAAGAGAACAAAATTGGTAAAAGCTGTCTTTCTGAAAGAAATTAGTCCTACAAGAAGTTCCCTGTAACCACTCTCAAAGAAAAAAAAATCTTTAAATAAATCAAAAATTGAATCATATTAGATACTCAAATCACTAGAACAATAACACAAAACACAACCAAGACTTGCCTGTTCTAGCTGCTGTGCAACCATTCCATGATCATCTAACGGATCTTCAATTTGATCTCTACAAACCAGAGAAGAAGGAAAACTAGATGCAAAAACTATTAATAATTACCATGAAATGACTTTCACTCAAAGATAAGTTTAAAAATCATAAATACACATGAAATCATACTTTCAAACTATTAAAGAAATCAGCATTACACTTCAGATTTATTTTACGTTACTTTACTTTACTTTTCCGATCCAGCGGCCATTTGGGTTCTAGCCCTTCGGTCTTGCGATATGGCAAAGAATACAGACTTATTTTAAATGCCTATTGGAATTCTATATCACAAAACTCCAGCTTTAACAAGATATTTTATATTTCAGACAAACCTTCTTGGTTATCAACCCACAACAAAAGTGAACTGAACTGCATAACCTTTGAAGGACATGTAAAAAAATAACTTTGGCTTCAAAATTTCAATAAACACCTTAACTATTATTTAGTCTGTTCAAAACATTGACTTTATTCAGTATTCAGCTGAACTGTATCTACGATAAGACAAGGTGCACAATAATGGCCTGGCCACATTTCACCAGGAAGAGTAAGACACTGTTCTTTGTAACCATTGACAAGTTCTTCCCTTGGTGCCCCACTCCTTGCCACAACAGGCCTCCACCTTCCTAAACATTTGCTTTGACGCATTATTTTATGAAGTTATAGACCACTGTCAGATTTTAAGTTTCCAAAGTATGATGTAGGAGATTTTCACTTCTTTCTCACTGCCTCTATGTTGCCCTGCAGCGCTTACAAATCAGCCGCATTGACCAAAAAAATAAATTGAAAAGAGCAGACCACACCCACGGCAACTCCAGTTTCAAACAAACGGCTCCCTCAAGAGCTCTTCAGGCTTTTCAGTAATGAGCAAGAAGTAAATCCAAGCCTCGAACAATCTCTTACCTGACCACCACGTGCACAGACTCCAGGCGAGATGTGATGTAAGCCTTGGTGACCTCGGGCGTGTAAGTCTCCAGCATGTGAGGCTCCGTGGCCTTGACGTACGGCACAGACGCCACCATGCGCTGCCACAGGCTCAGCAGGTAATGAACACTGTTTGGTGCAAACTGCCACATCTGAAGGGGGGTTGAGATAGACAAAAAAGTCTTAAAATAGTTTTACAGCCAGTCTGCACAAGGACGGCCACAAATTGAATTAAATAAATGAATTTCATTTTTATTGGTCTGCGTGGGAAATTTCATGCAATGGCATAGATACAATATAAAGCTATATCATCAGCAAGCTGTTCAGAGGTTCAGGTGTATTGACCCTAAAATTTGGAATTTTTTTTAGTGAAGTACCTAATCTGTAGTGTCGGATGCATGAGCTCAAGAAATGCTTTGTTGAAATTCAAATTCTAAAATTTGAAGAAAAAAATACTAGTTAAAATACAGTGTAGGTACAATTGTTCCAAAAATCAAACAAGTCATTATAAAGAAAACACTTACGTTCATACAGAAATAAAAGAAATAAACCAAAAAAATTTCAGGGGAAAATTTCAGAAAAGTCAATGTGAAATGTCTAGATTTTGAAGTTTAGACTGAGATAATAAGAAAGGCAGTAAGTGATAGAACTCATGAGAACTGCAGGTTTAAAAAAAAAAAAAAGGCCCAACCCTCACTTCTCACATTCATTAAGATCAGAAAACAGAAAAAACAAGACAGGCCATCAAAGACCTCAGTCACAAACATTGCTTCAAGGTACAACAGATATCCAGCAACGGTAATTTCCTGTCTAAAAAAATATGTCCCATGAAATAAATACACCCCAATTGTTGGGGGGTTTTTAATCACAGGGACAATAGATGATGGATCTGGAGCATAAAGCGTTTTTCAATAATTGAAAGATACGAGAAGTGTGAGCAGTCTTCTGAATAAGTATAGGCACGGGGACTGTCAGGTTCATGCATGGAGACAACTGAATCAGAAGCTTAGTTTTAGTAAGAGTATTACGGCACATGCAACACAATTAGGTTATATAAGTGCTGGAGATTAGAGGTGTTACAAGAGAGTAGTAAACATACAAAAGGAGGAAAGATAAAAAGACGATAGTTATTTAATAGGAAAGAAGGAGTAAACCACACTAGAGCACCTGCCAACCACCCACTAATCAGAAGCATATCACTGGAACTTTGGTGAAAACAAAGAACAGCAAATGCCCAAGACATGCACCGAGAGAGCCTGTACACACCCTCAGACTTGTGATGGTGAACTCTGCGATGAGCTTGATGGCCTCCGGGTAGTTGTCCACTTTTACCAACTCCCCCAGCTGGTAGTTGGATTTGAGGCGAGCTAGCAGACGGCAGAACTCATGGTAGTTGTTTGGATCTGACAGTCCCTGTTACATGAAAAAATGAATGGAAAACAATAATAATAATAGATCGTCCTTAAATGTTTGATGATGACCAATACATCCGCAGAGGAGAATATTTCTCAGGCGAAATAGAAGAATTTGAAGAATTAAAGGTTACTATAACTTGTGGCTTTTGCTATGGAAAACAAATAAATGAAAGAATTAGGGCATAATAATAAAATCTGGAAGACTTTCCCCCACACATTGTCATCACATCATAAAAAGTTAAACACTGATAGCAACATTGGGTACAGCTTTGAACATTCACAGAGTCCTATACATTGCATAGTTTCATGACTGCCACTGAGACAAAAACATTATTATCCTGTTTCCCTTCTCATTAATTTACTTTATTGTAATCCTTCCTTTTGTATCATCAGATGTCAAGAGGAGGAGCAATTTTTGGTCACGGGCTTGGTGAATTGATTCTGTTGTAGATAGCTTATTCTGTTGGCAAACCACTTTGACAGAGTACAGTCAAATTTTTCTTGATGCACCCCGACCTTTGTAACCTGATTCTCTCGCATTGTAAGCTAATGCAGCTGTTTGATTTTTTTTTGGGGGGGGGAGAGGGCATCCTCATCGGGTGACCACAGCACTTTAATTCATAGATGTTCAATATCTCTTCTAGTTAAAGTTGTACGAAAGAAAAGAGTGGCTTTCTCTGAAATGATACAGCCATCATACAGAGCACTGGGAAGCACTAAATGTAAAGTCTCTCTTCAAAGCACTGGATACATTTAAAAATTAAGCTGCATGCACCTCTTCAGAAATTTCAAAGAAAAAGGTTGTTTTGGGGTTATTTTAAAAAAATTCAAATATGGTCTGGTTATTTGGAGAAGACTTAACTTATGAACAGAGTAATCTTGGAGAACACAATGTGAAATACACTCAGGCAAGCTTGCACAAAATCCAAGCCACTATCCAGTCTCATCAACCTGCCCCATTACCTGAGGGCGTTCCAGAATTCCCCTGACCCCAACGACAAGATGGTTGATGAACTTGGCTCGTTCTGTGTTGTTGAATAGTGACCGCCTCACAGACGCAATTTGTACTAAGCATGACAGAGCCTGTGGCAGAAGACGGAAGGAATAATTTGATATATTTAGAATGTCACAGGAAAATTTGATTTCAAAATGACAAGATGAATAAACTGACTATAAACACATTTCTAAAGGTCACTCTATTCTAGACACACAAAAAAACCATGTAACATACCAAAAAGGGTAGTGTTAACTCAATTACATGCAACTATAAAACAATACCTGATAAATGTCATGAAAAAAAATTGCAACGAGTAGATTATGACAATCTGAGAAGAAATTTTAATATTGTTTTAGTCTGAAAAATCAGTATTAACTCGTATAGGAAGTATACACAATCTCACAGCGGCAAGTAAAGTATCTCAGAAAAACAAAGTAGCACCAAATAAAAACATACAAATTTCGTGGAGTGAGACAACATGTAAAAAGAACATGCTTCATTGCCAACCCAACAGAGACATATACCAGTAGTATTGTCCAAAAGACATAAAATACCCCTTCAGCTTCATTATCTTTCGTTTATTTTTAACAGTTTTACTGTCATATCAAATGGAATAAAAAGGGGTTGGAAAAGAACACAGTAAGGATTTTAACATGCAAGCTTATAACAAGAGAAATATGCTGTATAAAACAAAGAATAAAACCCACCAGTGGAGATAATGATGAGGGTAAACCACTGTACAAGTCAAAGAACAGTTCCAGTGTGCTTACATCAAGGAAGGCTGCGGAGTGATTTTTTAAAAAAGAAAAAAAACCCACATGAGAAATTTGATGATGCTGCAGAAAAAAAAATACCAGAAGCAGTTTATTAGGCAGATAGAGGAAACAGACATTGTTTTTACAGAATGTTATGCAGGATTAGAAAAGAAAAAGAAAAGGCCCTCGAGTGCTAACTCTTAGTAACAGATTTTGGTTAAAGAGAAAAACAAAACAAGCGCTAAAATAAAATGACATTTACGGATAAAGAAAAATCCATGATAAATACAAAAGGGCATAAAAGGCAACCTCCGGCTTGTGATAAAATAGGGATTACATTTATGGAAGATGAAGGCGATGACGATTGATGCAAATGACCATGAAGCAGAGACAATGGAAGAACAATTTTCCCACAATCACCACAGATTTGGAAGCCCTCGGGATAAAATGTTTAAGTCACCTGATCGCCAACTGGTAGGGATTTGAACTGTACACAAATCATCCGATGACTCATCTGTTGATGTTCCGATGAAGTCGAAAGTCAAACAGTTGTGTGCAAGCCGTAAGGAATAGGACAGGAGACTGTGCTGAAAAGCAAATCACAAAAAACTTAGTCAGTATTGTAGGTTCCTTATGAGGACGGATGGAAATGGCGAACAAATTCTTTGTCTCAGGCAGCACACTTTGCAAGACTTTACACTGTAATCAGTGACAGCCTCTCAGAGGTGCCACCCTGCAACGTAAAAAAAATTCTAAACTTTTTCACACCCCGTGGAAACAAGCACACTGGGAATTAAAATTTATGGATCCTATCGTCTCATACATCTTGTGCCAAGACTATTTTAAAAATAAAGTGCAATATGAAATACATAAAGAGCTCAAAGTATAAATAGGCAAAACCCTGACATTTTCAGAAGTCCAGATTTCCGGGTTTATCTGGGAAAATAGCACTCTCCTCAACAAATTTATGGCTTCAAACATCACTTAATGTATTACCAAGCTCCCAAACTCATAAAAGGTGTCCAAAACCAGAAAGAATGTACACCAAAAAGGTATGTGGTGGAGTAGTCTACACAAATGATAACCAGATTAGGCAAATTTTAAAAAGCCAGAATTCCACAAAATACCAGGAAATGGCAGCCTTAACAAAACCAACCTGGTTGTTATCATTCAAGTCTAGAGACTTGATGCTCCCAGCAGCAGACCGGAGCAGGGAGCAAGCTAGTTGAAAGATCTCAAACAGCTGAGTGTCACGAAAAGACGATGCAATCTTTCGATGCTTTGTAAGTGAGCGACTGGCTTCTGACTATAAGAGAAATAAAAAAACAAAAGCTTAATAAGTATTTGTTCAAATTATCAAAGGTGAACAGGATCAAATACATCAACAAGAGACCCTTAATCACTGCAATCAAAATATTATAAAGACATCTGTACTGAGCTAAAACAATACCATAACGCAGCATCAAAAGAAATTTTTCCCAAAAGTGAAAAAAAGCAGAAAGTATCTTTACTTTATGAAATAAAGGCGATTCTGCTCTAAAGACCACTTGTCCAAGACAATCACCAGTACAAGAGAATTCTCACCTAACAGGTTTTTTTTCTATCATAACGACAGTCCAAATTGTAGTCAAAGCACTGAGCTCACTGGAATAATATTATACAGTCAAACCTGTGTAAGACGGCCACCCATTGTCAAGGAAAAAAATGGCCGTATAAGATAGGTGGCCGTCTTAGGCAGGACTGATCAAGATGAAGAAAACAAACCATTCCCATCTGAGGTCCCAATCGAAAGTAGCCACATTGTTGTTATTTTTTGTTGTTGTTGTTGTTGTTGGTTTGTATTTTGTTTGTAATTTTTATTTTGTTGCCAATTTTGCACAAGGGTGACAATAAAACGAAATGTAGCAAACGAGGAAGACCGAGTGCCATGTTAAAACAAACGCATGGGTCGTCACCACTCGGAAAACGAGCGACGCTTCTGTCACAAGTTCATGTTGACGTCCTTTGTTACTTTGTTACAGACTGGGTAAACAGTGACCACTCATCTCATTTACGATTTGTGTATGAGTTCTGGGCGGGGCTTATGGGTTATGAGGGATCACACGCTTACCTCACCAGCAGCTGAAAATTGGTAGCTATTGGTCAACAGTGGGAGGGGCCTGCGCAACATAATCGGTTGGAGGGACTACCTAACAACAACGACAGGGGATTGAATTATGACGGCTCACCACCTTGCGGCTCGCCCACAACGCCAGGGGCCAATGCACAGTTTGTGACAAAACGTAATGGAGTCACTAAGGTGGCCGTCTAAGACAGTTGTTATTGCTTAGTGTGATAGGGGTTGTGTGTTAAAATATGGTGGCCGCGGACGCGTTGGACAGATGCCCGTTTTACACAGTTAAATTATATAGAAAAAACGCAAGGGGGGAAATGGAAAGTGGCCATTTGTACAGGTGACCGTCTTATAGAGGTAGCCGTCAGGGAAGGTTTGACTGTATTACTCTACAGGGACTCAAATTTATAAGAGAGCCTAAGAATGAAACAGTGACATTGAGCTGTTTTTGTTTCTAAGCATCTCACTTCATTGTTTCACAAGAGTGGAAAACACATTTTGCAATAATTCTTAACTTCTTAAAGGAGAAGAACACTTTTGAACAGCTGTAAAACCAAACTCAATGTGTGTTGATATAGATATGAGAAAAATCTGGTGAAACAAAACTAGAAATGTATTTTTCAAGTTTGGAAGCTACTTTCTCTAACCAGATATATGTCTACCAAATGGCAGAGCTATGAGGCATAAAACTAGCTTCAACATGAAAAGTAGGTTGTAATGAACCGCAGCATCTTTAACCTAACTGAACTTGAATAAAACTTGGAAAATAATACGTTTACATAAAGCTCTTTCACACAAGACTAAAAATAAAGCACTCGTACCATTAAGAAATGCGAGCGTAAAAGCTTATATTAGAGAGAGAAAACAAAAAAAACAGTATTCTGTTGGCAGGTGACGGCAGAATACCTCACTAACTTGGTTCATCTCGCACACGAGTTGAGAAAGCAGCTGGACTCCAATCATCACATGGTGTGTGGAACCACTCTGAAACAACAACAAAAATCTAAATTGCATTAAACTATTTCAAATTCAAAGGATCAAAGGACCCACAAGAACAAAAAGTATGAAAGTATTCAAATTTAAAATGGAGCAAAACTGTATAAGGACCAACTCACAAAATATTTTGCATAAAGCTCATCTTTGCTTTTACAGGCACAGGAAAACTGGAAAATACTGATAATTTTAAAAAGCTTAACTTGGCTGTGTTACTTTTTTCTAACTGATGCATTCACATTTTGTAATCATTTAATTCCAAACTTTTTTAAGGTATCCAAACCCAAAACCTCATCATAAGGGAGAAAAAAAAAGCTAAAAGTAGTCATTGCATTTGACATTGCATTACATCAGAAACAACTTTTTTTTAAACCAATGCAGAAAAAGCAGCTAGAGTAATCAAGAAAGCTATCAATCAACTTGCTTTTACTCACCTGAATAAATTTTCCAACATCATTCACAACATTGCGAAAAACGAATTCCTCTTTGTTCACATCAAACCACCCATATTTTGTAATCCTTGCAAAAAGCTGAGGAGACATAAAAGTAATTAACTTATGATGCGCACAGCTTTTTATAATGGTAATAAAAAAAGGGGGGAAGGACCGATAAGTGTCTGTGGCCGGAGTGAGAAACAAACTTCTGTCTTGCTTAATTTTCTCAAACGTAAGAAAGAACCCAAACGGCAAGTACTGCTTAAAGAGATCTATTGTTGAAAAAGCTGGTACTAAGACACATGCAGAAAAGCAGTGTTCTTTCTTTACTTGCATTTATATCTATACAGCACATATCCATACTCTATAGCATACTCTAAGCGTTTTACAACTATTATTACCCCGGCAGACCCTAGAACACTTAGAAACATTCTCAGCTTACCAGGAAGCCAACAGTACAAGCAGCGGATTACAGGCGCTCAAACACAAACTGACAAGATCTTTCACTGTCTATAGCTAGGTAGCCATTCCTACCCGAGTGAAGTGAGGAAAATCTTCATACAGTGCCTTTCCCAAGGACACACATCAAGCCTCTGACATGATTCACAACAGCGTGAAGAACCTTTTGATGACATATTGGTAATAGTATTGTTGACGCTATTTTAAAAAACTTCGGATGAAAAAGACCAATAACTGTCTAAATCCCTTTTCAAACTTGATGCTGTGGTACGATTGACACCACAAGACTTGTTCAGCAGCTTTTACAAAACAGTCACAACAAATTCTCACCTGAACTAGGGCCTGTGAAACATAATGAGTCAGCTTTGGTCGAGTTGCAAGGTAATTCAAAACGTAATTGCCTGAAAAAGACAAGTATGAAAACAACCTGAACAGCAAATAGAAGGGAAAAAATGTAATAAGCAGCAAACCACTTGCTTAAACATGACATGATAAGTAGAGCAGGCAATTAACTTGCTTTTAATATGCTTTGTAACTAGCAATACAAAATGGGACTTACCAGGCGGCTAACAAAACAAAACAAATTAACTTTCTTCTTTGAAGCTGAATGGAGCTCAGAATTCAATTTTGCCAATGGAACAACATGCGAAAAACAAAATTAATTAACTAATGAACAGCAACACCCCCTGAAAAGTTCTTCAATAGTTACGCTACAGCAGAACACAAAGTTATATCAACGAATGAATAATATGTGAGAACTGTCAACTTACGGATATCCACACGTTGCTCTAATGGCAACGTTACATTTGGTCTGTACACCATCTTTGTCAGGGTGGTAGCTGCAAGCAACTGTGCATATGCAGACTGCAAGAGAGGGAGAATTTAAGCGCAAAATTAGATAGGAAAGAGTGTTCTGAAAAGAGTAAAAGGCTCATGTATATTCTGGTAAAGGCAAAACTGAATTAAGCAACTTTGCTTTTGTGTACCAGATTTATCTGTTGTGCTTGCACATTTGTAGCTGTCTAACTTTAGAAGAAATAGGCACCAATGACTAATTATTTGAAGAAATGGATGTTTCGGTCTGAGTGAAAGATATCTTAGTTTCTGTATATACTGCATCTATGTCTCTAATTAAAACTCGCTGTACAATTTGTTACACCTCATGGAACAATTAAAATTAAGTAAGAATGTTTGTTTTAGTAAGGTTTTACGGCGCTCGCAACCGCAACTGCATATAATATGGTCATATGAGCGCCAAGGGTTGGATGTCAACAGAGAAGTCCAAACAGGGAATCAGGTTTACTCTGCTCACCTCTCTGGCCTCAACAGCACAAAGTCCGCTTCGACTACCAAGGCACGCAGCCAATAGCAGCTCACAAGAAAGTGACAAACATACAAAAGAAGTAGAGGAAAAAATGAGGATAGTAAGGATGAGGGGGAAAAAAGCAGCAGTTCCCCCTACGTTGTTCCGGCACAGTATGAGCATGACATTGATAAATCAGCCCATATAAAATCTACTGTTCATAAGAACATGTTAATATCCCCCTTTGAGAATGGCCAAAAGACACTTCAGTCAGTAGTCAGTAGCACTGCCCTGGTGGGGGGAAGTGAGAGAGTGTAGTTGGCAGTGAACAACTAACACCTGCAGACTGAAAGTTTGCATTACCTTTTTTTTTTTTGTACACATCACATTTATTTTGTCACAACATCAAACAAAAATGGTGACTGTTGAAAAAATTCAAGAGACTGGAAACAATAAAAAGGCTGATACATTATAACCATCCATTCATAACCATAATCAAATCGCTACATTTTTAATTCTTCTAAACCATAATCATGTAATGATGGAGGTTCTAAACATCGCTGAATCTGTGATGTCACTTCTTCTGAACAGAAATGAATAGGAGTCAGTAGATGTAATGATCCCTTAAACCAAAAAAAAGGAGAAGAGAGACGAGGGTACCGGTAGTACAAAGTATCCACGTGCATTCAGTTTCCTACGGAAAAACTAAAATGACGCAAAACATGCAGAAAATTACTCACTTGAGTAGCATTTCCTTAGATCTCTGTTGCGGTCAAAGACGGACAGGGTGGACTTGTTACTATATTTGGCTTACAGAGAGATAATTTATGCTTTAAAAAATTGGGTGGTTAATTTTACTGGAAGAGGAAAATTATCATCAGTCCCTAGAAAAATTAAAGCCATTTAACTGAGACATGGCTTTGTTTCAACTATACTACAAATTCGCACAACAAAACTTCCATTCTACTTGAGTACAAAAAGAAAGTTAAGTCGTGCGCGACAGTGAGTCACAAGGTATGTATCCTTATAAGACGCGACCACATCGCGCTAAATTTTTAGTCGCGTGCAACAAAAGAAAACTGTCTCCTTATGCGCGACTCAATGTTTAGCCGCATGCAACTGGCTAAGCCCTCGAGCAACTGATAATTCACAGAAGAGAGAAAGTGGCATATTTTAATGTCAAGATGGACAAGGAAGTACAAAGTCCATCAAATGGGAGTTGTAAGAGCCGCTGACATTTTTTATTCCATACATGATGGCCAATCACATGTAAGTCCTCCTCCTTTTCTCCTCCTCCTTCTTTTCTCCTCTCCTCCTTTTCTCCTCTCCTCCTCCTCCTCCTCCTTTTCTCCTCTCCTCCTCCTCCTTCTTTTCTCCTCTCCTCCTCCTCCTCCTCCTTCTTTTCTCCTCTCCTCCTCCTACTGCTGCTGCTGTCCATTAAAAAAAAAAAATTTTTTAAATCACGAAACTTGTATTGGGTCGAATTAAAGACAAACAAACCCCCCCCCCCGTAAAAGGAGACAAGCTGTAAGGTTTTCACGCTCATCCACCATGAATATTCTACAAGGGCGATAACAAACAGTAGCTTACATTTCCTCTCTCCAACAACAACTGGCACTTGTTAAGACAATCTGGAGAGTTGGCAAAGGACACCAATGCCTTCTCTGCCTCAGCACGAATGTTGCCATCTGCAGTTTCATAAAGCTGCTTGCACAAGTTCTCCAGCTGCAACAGTTCCTGAAGATTGTAAAACAGCATTACATACAGTGAAACGAAAAAGTGAAGAGACATTTTCACAACTAAACTAGATCTAGTAACACATGAAAAAAAAATTTTTAACAACAGACAAAAAGTCAATACACAAATAGAAGTGAGGGTGATTTCTTTTATCATAAAATTATGCACCCACTCCCCAAAATACAGCAGGAATAAACAATATCTAATAATAAATTTTTAAACTCATTTTTACAATACGTTTTTACTGTCTTCGTCCATCTTTTTTTTAACAGATCATCTCTCTCATCAAACAGTCTATAGCATCATTTTTTTAATCAATTTTTTTCTCATCTAGTATTGCCTTTTTAATAGGGCCGATACGTACATCTCATTTTTTCTTGAAAGCTGTTCTGTAATCCTACGTGTTGTTTTTTTAAAATTCACCTCAAGGGCTTCCACCCACTATCAGAAGTTAAGTCCAAATCATTGGCTTCCACTACTTCTTATGCAATGCATCTGGCTGCATCCTTAAAAGTCTAGCCTTTATTTGGAAACTACAGTTATTTCCCAAGCTAAGAATACAGGAAAGAGATGTCTCGCAAAAGTCTGGGAAGTATTTTATAATGCAATTTTTTTAAATATAAAAACCTGAAAAGAATTAAGTTTTCTGCTTTTGTGGTAGCTTCCAGTTTGTTTCACTTTCACTTGACTTGTTGGATAGTTCCTAGCATGTGACTACAAAGCCTGTTCTTATACCAGTAACCATGCCTAATAATACTCTCTGTATTCTTAGTTCTTTCTCCTGTCCTTCATTTTTCAATTGAAGAATGACGATAATACACTAAATGGTCCAGTGTCAGTGTCCATGTGTAGCCAGGTCTGGACAGGGCCATCTTTTTTTGGGGGGGGAACCACCTACCACAGTTGGAGGACAGTGGTGGGGCTCATGATTTGTAGAACTGACCAGCTTTCACTCAAACAACGACACTGACCCCCCCCCCCTCCCCCGGGTCTTACACTGACCCTCAGCATGAGCCCTTAGGTACATGGTCCCCTTCCACTAAAAATCCTTATCTGTCCCAAGCCGAAAGAGTCTACAATATAATCAGAAACAATACAATACATAATTAACACACAAAAGCACTGAAAAAAGTATACAACAATTTCCTGTGGTTAGCTGTGTGATTCTCAGGAAAGTAGTCGTAGGTAGGCTACCTATTTGACATTGAAGAAACCAAGGACAGGCCGAGGCGTGAGCCACGGACTTTTGAAGACTGCTTGAGTAGCGGTCGAGGCGCAGAGCAGAGAGTTGCGACCAGTCAGTGCAAGTTGGATCACTACATGAGGTGGGTGTGTGTAGTTAAACCACATGCATGTATAGTTAAACTACATTTCCAATAAGAATCAACCATTATTCAGCACACTTCTCAAAGAAGGTTTTAACCTGGGAACTATGTCAAATGCTTTTTCAGAACTCAGTGTTTGGTTTGGGGGGGGGGGGGGGGGCAAACTAACAGTCTCTCGCCTCTCACTAGTTATTAAGTCTAGCACTGTCGACTGCCACCCCGTTAATTTGTTCTATACGGCAACTGGGCAATCCTCGCAATCACCAGTGTCTGGATTTTGGCCCTAGCAAGGTTATTGTGTAGGAAATAAGCAGCGAATAGAACACCAAACAACTAAAAACTCAAACAGCAAATAAAGATTAGAGTCATGCCTGCACGAAGTGTGCTGACAATGACTAGAGGCAGGTTTTAAAGATAAATATTACTAATTAATGAAATGTATATTTTTTAGAGTTGCTGTCCAAGGCAGTATCCATTGCAAGCAACAGAGAAACCAAACTGGCAAAACTGAAAGTCAGGAGGGTTCTCTTAAGTACTCAGTGGCAACTAGCAATTGCTCAGTGTGCCGACCTGGTTGACATCACCACTGAGTGCGTGATACGAAGTCACTCCTCATGATAAAAGGTAGTAAAAACAAAGTTACAGCCAGCATGATAAACAGAGATGAAGGAACGACTTTCAGAGTGTGTCAATACACCAGTGTCAGTGAGCCCTTTCTCTTAGGGTCTCTGCAAATCAGCAGAGCGTTTAAAATTGAATGTTGATTACATTGCATTTACTTTAAAACTGAATGAAAATTATCATCAGCAATACAGGTCTCTCGTTTGCCAATAAAAAATGGCCTGCTCCACTAGTCTTGCCCAGCTAACGAACCGCTCCTGCAATCATCAGACCAGAGACAGACTTGAATCAACACTCATTCTACTATAGAATTCATGATTCTCAAGTATGCCTACAACGTGGTTGTAACAGAGTTTTCTTGATCCTACTAAACCTAACATTATTTGCTTGCTGTCAGACTCTAGGTCTAGACTGTAATTTATAAAAATGTGACACACACAACAGCCCCAACAACACTTTTGTGCCACAAACCCCAATCATGGATATGGAGTGGTATTTTGGAAACACATGAAGCAACAGCAAGCACCTAGCACACTTCTGTAATTGGGCCAAATATAGACGACATACTTCCGCCATCTATTTTTTTCGTCTTCCGGGGTTTCCCTCGCCAGTTACTGTTAACTTGATCTCGCTGTGTTTGTTTTCTTTTTTAATTAGACTGTGTCTTTTAACAATCACAGCAATTCTCGTTAGAAAAATTTTCCTTCTCCCCAAAGTAGTACACACACATACATACACACACATAGCGGTTGCGCACACACACACACGCGCGTGCCTACACACAAGCGCACACACACAACCCAAACAATCGGCTATGAAACCTTCTCTGTGACGTAGCCCATCACGCATTAAGCGGGCCCGCCACAGTGAGATCTAGTCAACTGGGAAGGGTGCCCGGATGCATTCATTACTTCAAAATCAAAAAGTGACATTCTAAAAGTAGAAGTCACAATAAAGGACGAAGTGACTATTTCTCCGAATGCTCGGAAAAATAAACTAAACTTGATCTCTATTTCTCCTAATGGTTTCCGTTCTCTGGATTTTTATTTTTATTTTCGAGATTTAGGCGTCATCTTTCATTCTGCCATTCTGCAAGGACTGGGAAGAAGCATAACTTAGCATTCTTTGCATCGAATTCCATTTCTAGAGCTAGAGATTTTTAAATGTCTGATTACATCATATTTAGATACTTCAGTTGTGGTTGGGGCAACATTCTCGGACTACACTTTGATTTGAAATTTATGCTTTCATAAGGTACTGAGACAAAACAAGACTGCTTGACCTTGGCAGTAGGCCCTACCTATTTTGCATTATATTTAAAATTCAGTCACCCTCTAAAGAAAAAAAACTAAAATCCTTCATGTAGCCTAAATAACAAAAAAATCCTTCAACGACCCCCCCCCCCCCCCCCCCGCCTTGTTCACACCTTACACTATACACGCACACACAAACTCAACTCACACACACACACACAGACACAGTTCACACACACACACATACGACATACGTGACACACACACACACAGCCACTCACAGCGCCCGTGCATGGGCCACTCCATTCGCAAATTACCAACAAATCTCGAGAACGGAAATCGTTCGGAGAAATAGAATCTAGAGTTCAAGTGTATTTTTCCGAGTGTTTTTGGGCCACCTCTATTCTCACCCGGGATGAGAATAGTGCAGGCGAGTCTTTTGGCTATTCTCACCCGGTGCGCGTTCACCGTTATAGCCTATATCTAGGCCTCTAGGCCAACAAATTTTGCGTTCACCCTAAACCACAGAATTCTACACTGTGATAACAGAAAAATTACACTTGTAGAATTCTGTGCTGTGAACAAACGTTGCATTACAACTGTACTTGTAGCCTACTAAAAGCGTACAATTTTGTCAGTGGGCAGTGGAGAGAGAGAGTGAGAGAGAGAAAGAGAGAGAACAAAACAAAATGGCGACCTGCGTTGTTCGGCTCGATTCGAAAAGTTAAATAGCTGTAGCATCTTTGTAGACAACCAAATTAATTTACTTTTGTGTTTTAACATCATTTTTTAACTTTGTTTTGGTCAATCGATCGTCCACACCGATAGACAGTATTCAGAAAGAGACAGAGAGAGAGAGAAGAGGGGAGGAGTAGATCTTGCGAGAACTTCCGAGCGGGTGAGAATAGCCACTTTCTTGGAGAAATAGAGCCGGCCATAAAAGGAGGCCTGCGCCTCTCTCTTTTTATTCCCAAAAAAAATTCATCTCTGAAGATACAGTCGTCACTAGAACAAAGGACAAAATAAACAGTTTGGCTTTGGTCAGCCTGGTTAGTAAAACATTTATAAACTAGGAGGTGCTGAATCAGGGTTTCAGCACACACTCTCTTTTTGCGTGAATTGACGGTGATTTAGCAGGTGGTGGAGTCCAGTGGAGACATCAAAGACACACACGAAAAGCACGCCGCCAAAGGCGTTAGAGGTGGTTTTCAAAATTAATAGCACAATGCAAGCCTAATTCTATAGATGTGGCACGTGCTAAAATCAGATTTCATGAGTCAAACAATATATTGAAGTTGAAAAGTAAACAAATGCGTCAATGCCAATGTGTGTGTATTCAAAATTGTAGTCACCTGTTCGTCCGCCATTTTTGTTTTCCTCCGCAATAATCTGACCGCAAGATGGCGCGAGTTCTCCAAAAACCTGATAAAAGCTCTCTGTTGATTGGTTTAAATAGAAAGTTTTCCAGGGAAAGCCCTCAATATTGTCCAATGAATCTGTATGAGACAAAGGTTCTCAGCGGGGAAACCACCGGAAACCTCCTGGAGTAAACATTGAGAATCCCCATAAACAGAGATAGAGACAAGAAACAAAAATAGACCAGTGACTAAATATCGACAAACAAAAAAAAGAAAGTGGAAAGTGGAGTGAAAGTGAAATCCGGTCGCATTTTCAAATCTTGGCAGCCCCAAGAAAAAGAAATTAATTCTTTTATTTATTTTGTTTTAATTTTTGCCGATGCAGTACAATTGCAGATCATATATTTCGAAAAAAAACAATGCAAAAATAACATTTTTTCAACGTCAATAGTCTATATTATTTTTGGTTTACTTTGCTTTCAGTCTTCGGAGAAAGATGGACTGTATAAATAGAGCAGGACGGAAGACACACTGGAAAAGATGCAAAATTTATTGAGAAAGGTTTTGGAGCTTAAAATTGATATGAGCCAAGAATTATTTAAAAGTGTCTGGTTAAAAGTAGTTAAAAGGGTAATATTACGTTCCGTCTCTCTTTCATCTGCGAAATATTCTTGTGTTGTCTCCCAATGGGCTTTTCCCTCAACTTTTTTTCTGAGATTTTCTCTTTTCTTTTTCTCATGCTCCTTATCTTTCTGAGTCTTTAAGGACGTGCAAGCGGACATGTCCGATCAACCGCAGACTAAAGATCTCGACAATGTTGTAGCAAATTCGAACATACGCGAATCATAAAACACGGACAATTGACCGCAGCTTTATGGAATGCATTTGTGCTAATCAAAACAGAATTGGGGAATCTATAGAAGCAAAGAATCAGATCTAGTTGTGCTTCTTTCTTTCCACATGTGCCCCCCCAAAAAGCAGCCATGAAAAGCCTTCAATTTAATGAGTTAATCAACTTCGAAGAGCTTGGGTTGGGACAGAGAGAGAGAGAGAGAGAGAGAGAGAGAGAGAGAGAGAGAGAGAGAGAGAGAGAGAGAGAGAGAGAGTTTGTGTGTGTATGTGTTTGTGTATATATGTTTGTGTGTGTGAGGGAGAGGAGAGAGAGAGAGAGAGAGAGAGAGGGGGGGGGGGCGAGGAGAGAAAGGAGCCATGTCACGTGTCACAGTGTGATGGAAAAGGCGCTCGTCAATTTTAGGGAAATATGAAGTTATTGGTACCATCTTAAAGTCTGTCCATGTGCCTTGTTTTTGATGGGCAAAATATCCATTGATCTTGAATGCAAGGTTATTGAAAGAGGTGGGGGTCGCCAGATTTCAGATGTAAAATAAGCTGAAAAATTGCCGCCAAAATCGAGTATTTCCTTAGCTTGAGAGTCCGTGCATGGCCTTCGTGATACTCGTTATAACGAAGGCCATGGTCCGTGGAAACTGAAAATTTAAATCTGTATATGCCTTTAAAGGGGGGGGGGGGGTACACATGGAGGCTATCTCGCTTATTACAGGACCGAATTTTACCATATTTCACACATATAACAAGCATAGTAAGGAGTCTTGAAATCCGCAACCAAATTTGAGAAAAAAGTTTCGTTTCCATGGATACGCCGCCATATTGGATTTTATTGACATGTCTTACGTAATGAATACCGCACTTATTGCTCCTGGAAATTGATTTGGTTTTTTTGCAGGCGTGTTTACAAACATTAGATCTAAAAATTTGTCGTTTGTTTTTTTTCCTAATCGAATTAGAAATTTGTTAATGAATTTTTTCCTGAGGTAGCATTCAAGTTTGCGAAAAATCCGTGAAAATCCACACTCCAGACACCAACAACAAAAATCTATTCCATATATCAAAAATTCAACAGAAAAATATTTAGTATTACCTCTTCTCTTCATTCTGTGAAAATTTCATGAAGATTGGATGAAAAATGGTGGAGTTATTAAAAAAAGTATAGAGAAAAGTAGCATTTTGAGAAAACGGCCGAAAAATAAAAATAAAATACTGACTTTATGAGGAAATGGCGGTTACAAACATGCCCGGTATGGGGAAAAATAGGATTTTTGGGGGTTCTTATGCCATGAAATAGTTGTAGGAGAGGCTGAGGAAGCTAAAAATGCCTACAACTCTAATTCCATGATTTTGAGCCGAATTTTGATTTTGGGGGGTGTTGCCCCCCCACACCCCCACACCCCCCACCCACCCCTTAATCAACGTTTTTCAGTAAAATTCAAACAGAGATATGTTCTTAAATGGGCATGCAAGGTGTTGAGCCAATTAATAAAAATTCGATAAAAATTCCCAAGCCTGCGGAAAAATGCCAGTTTCTTCACCTTCATATTTTTGGGGCGATCTCGAGCGCCTGATTTCACCACGCTGCCTCACATAATAATATGCTGCTTACTGTCAATAAAGGCAAACCTCGTCTGGGTGACATCACAGACACTATCATCTCGTGTGGTGAAGTAGAAAATTTTGCCAGCAAGCAGACAGGGATAATGGATCAAATAAATTCCATTGTAGCGTGCAGATGCGGGAACCTTACTGCGAATCCTCGGCCTGTATTTTCCTCTTTTAGATATTTCTAACCATCAATGATTTAACTTTTGGAGACACCACCTGGCCTAATATTACATGCAATATGACAAACCTCCCCCATTTCCTTTCAGGCTTGGCGAAGCAATTATTTCCGGCTGACAACACACGCTGGTGGGTTCTATCGGTGGTCTTGAGAGTGATTACTTACATCTATAGCTATGACGCAACATTCAGTTCTCGTGTCTCGTACTAACAGCGAGTAATTACAACTCCCTGTTACTATTTCATTCTTTCACAAGGATTGCTTATAACGTGTGTCAGTTTCAGTTTCAAGTTACATGTACTACCCAAAAGGAAAAGAGAAGAGGGAGAGATGCGCTATTTAAAGAAGAGTGACCACCACAGAAGATTCTTTTCACTGATTATGAAACTGCTCACGTAATCATTACACTGTCTTGCTTAGTGGAACTATAATATTATATACTTCTGTTGCAAATTTCATAAGGTTAAATTTCATGTTATTTTTCGATTGGTGAGGGGATTTATCTGGCCTTTTCGGGTTTTGTGACGCTTTAAAAAAAACAAAAAAACATTTTGATTGACTGATAAACACTTTAAAATCTTTATACCTTTGTCCCCTAAATTGATCATAGTCGACGTTTCCATTGTTTTGCTGAAAAGCTGACATTGTAATAGCCTGCATAATAGCATTCTCTCTCTCTCTCTCTCTCTCTCTCTCTCTCTCTCTCTCTCTCTCTCTCTCTCTCTCTCTCTCTCTCTCTCTCTCTCT